AGCAAATATGTTTAATTAGCAAAATTTTAATATCAATCAGTTGATCATTTAACTGTCATTTCTTTTATTCAAATCAGTTTTGCATCATTTTTTCCTTTCCTTTTTTTTTTTATCATTTGCTAAATTCATTTGCGACAAATAGAGGGATGACAAATAGAGGACGATGAATGAGTTGGTTTTTTTTTTTTTTTTTTTTAGTAAGAATGAGAATGAGGAATGTGACGTTGTATCTGCCATTTCTTTCGTATCAAAGCCAAAAATGATGTAAATTAAAGCTTGTGAAATTATTACAGCATAAATAAATGCAAGTTGATATATATGCGTAATTGTCTGTAAATTTTTTTTTTTTAAGAAAAAAATTTTTCTTACTTTTAAAAGTTAAAATTTTTATAATATAAAAACCAAAATTTGATGTAATATGTTAATTACACGTGGAACACGTGTCAATATAATGATTTACTTTGATATTACTCTCTCTCTCTCTCTCTCTCTGCTAAATATGATTATTAATAAAAAATTCCAGTAATCAAATTCCTATTCATATCTAAGCTAGATTTCTGATAGTTTAAAATATTTAAATATTCTCATTTGCTAGTTAATGCATAGAAATCGAGCTAATAGAGAATATTTTTAGCTTGCAATGATTTATATTAAATTGATCAATATTAAGCATATAATCATATCTAATATTTATTTGTAATAAAATAATTAATTTAAATAATTAAACGATTAATTTAAAAAAAAAAAACTAACAAAATCTTTTCCGGTATTATTTACATAAAGTTGTAATATAGCAAAACCAATGATGCCATAAAGTGTAGCAAGTAGAAGATATGGTAATGATAGATCGATAATAATTCCCATTGATAAATGTAGAATAAATCCACCACCAATTGTTAAACATATAAGTTTTGCATGATCTTCACCAATAATTGTTGAACCAAAATGAGGAATTAATCCAATAGCTATTGGTGTTAAAGCAGCAATTGGTGGTATACCGATAAGATTTTTATCAGAGAAAAGATATCCTATCAATAGTCCCTAAAATAATTTTAGATAAAAAAAAAAAGAAAAAAGAAAAAATGCAACAATAATATTAAATAATAATGTATAATAATAAAAAGAGGATTTTTAACCTTGTTAATCTTTGATCCTATTAATCTTTAATCGATACCATTTACATTTATCAAAATAATCATAATATTAATTAAATTAAACAAATAAATTGATTAAATACATGAGTATTTATAAAATTTATTCTAATTCTTAATTAAAAATATTTTTCAAATAATTAAAATTACCTCAAAAATAGCAAATGAAAATAGCATATGTCGTCGAAATAGATCATTTGTTTCTGTTATTTCCAATGGTAATTGTAGAAAATAGTAGACAGTAAGCGGAAGGATAAAATATGCTAATAAGGTAGCATCTGAACCAGATATGAAAAATTCAAGTAAGGTGGAGAAAAGGATGTTACCAAGAAATTCTCCGATGCTTAAACCTAATAGCATAATTGCCATCCAGGAGAAAGCTTTCATCAGTTTTGTTGTATCCAAATCCGATAAGTTAGATTGAATATCTTTTATTTTTATCATCATTTCATCACGTTGTTTCAATAATTCATGATGAAAAACATTGAATTGATTAAATGTTCCCATCTAAATTTAGTGAAATTTTAGTTCAAATTCAAATTCAAACTTAAATTCAAATTAATGAAATTGATTGAAAAAAAGTGTTGAATTAAAATGGAATAAATTGAAATTAAAAAAAAAGTGAAAATTATTTGATTTCTTAAAATTAATTGATTTCTTAAAAACTTAAAATTAACTGAAATTAAATTTATTACATAAAGTTGTGATATTTCAAAGATAAGCACAAAAATAATTTGATTGAAATTTCTCTTTTGATGACATTTTTCTCTTTCCTCATTCATTCCTTTATTCTTTTTACTACTTATTCTTTCTCCTTTTTTTTTTTTTTTTTTTTTTT